AATCGACAACGTTACTTATATTCGTATAAGAGTAGGGTTTCGAGACTACCAGTAAATCAGTGTAATGAGACTACCAGTCCTTCATCACCTTAGACGAAATAGGGTGAATACATCTCATTACAACCATAACCCAGCTTCAGGCTTCGTCTTGATGGGAATACCATTTGAGAAGAAAGGCTGTGAAATTCACTGGAAAGGTAAGGCCTACTCATAAGCCAGTAGGAAAATTCAACGACAAGTCCTTCATCACCTTAAACGAAATAGGTTGAACACAGTCATCATTTATGCTTGCAGCCTGCCAATATGATTGGTTTAGCTATCATTGCCTCTTGCTTATGCGAGGCTTTTTAGTTATTACGATTTCTGTCTCATGACAAAAGAAATCCTCGCATGGATGGATTGAAGTCTAGATTCTAATGAGCAGAGGACTTGTTCGCACAATCCTATAGTCTTCACCCCGAGGCAATATCTCTTCGGTTTCCGGTAATGCAAATAGATTACACCATTTTAATCAACTTAAAATAAAGGTCGAGTCACTTTAATTAATTCGAATCTTCACATAATTATAGAAAGATTTAATTTGTTCCTATCCATAAGAGCCTATATTACCCTAGCCATATTGATGTACATAAATGCGTGTATGTCTCTGTATGGACATATTTCTGTCAGATGCTGGGAATCATGGAACTACTATGGCAGACGACTTCGGACTAGGTGCGTTCTACATAGTCGCCCTGACAACAAGACCAAGTTATGACAACGAGGTCAACCCACTTCGATAAATCTAAAGGAGACTGCGACCATAACAGAGGCCACAACATCTTGGTCTTCATATATTCCATAAAGTAGAATGTTCCAAGACTTGTCGGCTTGTTTCAAAATGCAAAATTATGCAAAATAACCGTCGTCAACGCACATTTTTGCTTGAAATAGAATTGATTCCAACAAAATATAAACAAAGCGATTCCCCAAAATGCAAATGTTTTTCGCATATTTTCTTTCATGTCCAGCCCCCTCCATAGAACCTGTCATTTCTGATCGTTGCGTGCAAAAATGTCTACGGGCATTATATTTATGTTTCCTCACTTCTTGACGAATGGAAGTGAATTGGCCCTGTTCTCTTGTATCCTTACGCCTGCTTTCAAAGGTCCACGCTTTCTAGGATTTGATACTAAAGGCCTTGGGAGAAAGTATGATGCCAGAAGAAGCCGATCGAGATAAACGATCTGGCCCTTGCCAACGCTTTGTCTCTTTTCCGGGTTGCCGGTTGTTGGTTGCCGGTTGCAGGCCTCGACCAGGCTTGTATGTTCTCTACTCTGAACCCTTCTTCAATTCCAAATATGGATCATAGATGAGAAGACTATGATGCTATGGTCTTTTGTTTCGTCGCAATCCCCTTTAGCTTTATAATGTTGTTTTGACCTCGTTTCGCAATTTGGCTGCAATGTACCTAGTCCTGCGTCCTTATGACTTCCAGCATCGCTAGCTTGATACATTACCGGGCGCTTCTCCGGCATCGTCAAGCAGAGGCGCCATCCTTAGGACAGAGATACAACTGTCAAAAGTGGCAGGTGAAGACAATCTTCTCTTCAACCGTCTTTGTTGTCCTACCTTCTCGTGCTGCATCTCTTCCTCTCAACCATACTTCACATAGTCCATTTATCTATTCACACAATTATGCGTTCTTGTTGCTAAGTCAACAGTCCGATGCTGCAAATCATCATGAATCCTATGCTAGAGGATACAGGACTTGCTACTTTCCACAAGGTCTTCCTATCGCCCCGACCAAGTGGCCAAAGCGAAGTTAAACCAACACTCCAACAATGCATGTCTAAATCAGTTAAGTCCCAGCTTCTAGTTTGCCCAACGAAGTCAGAACGGTCACGAGATAACTAATCTGATGAATTGGTTCTTCTGGTGTATGTGTTGTCTGCCCATGAGAGCCAAACGGTTGGCCGGACTGGGTGCCGATTAGGAAACGATTACATGCAATGAAAGCAAGAGGACAACAGAAGGTGAAGAGCGACGAGGCCGGCTGGCAACTGACTAAACGAGTGTTCGACCGCCTTCGAACAGTAAAATCCTCCGTCGCTCAGCGGTACTTTGAGGCTTGGCCCAATTCGAGGGGACAGGAGGAGGGCGACACTTGTCGAGCCGAGGAAAACGAGTGGCCACATTGAAGCAGCCTGTCGAATAGCTATCAAAACTGTTTCCAAGCGAAGTGATCGAGTGAAACTAATTGGGTGTCATGCGAACAAAGTTGTTGGATACGGAGACGAATTAAGTACAGTCCATAAATGCCAGTCTAGCCTTTCCTCTGTTCTTCCGAATGAAGCGTTGCCTGGTCCCGATTCTTGTACACTATCTTTAAAGGCAGGGGTGGGGGAATTTCTATAAATTTTGCACTGGAACTGCCCAGAAGGGGATATGCGGAGTATAAATGTGCTCTGGTGGTCCACATCTGTGTCCCATAAAATAGGTGAAGTCAAGATGACTTGATTGGAGGTAACAACCCTGGCCAGAATCGAGCCAGTCAGCTGCGTTCCCCAATTTTCCTATCTAAACACATACACTCATGCACACACAAATACACACACACAAACAAACACACTCTTTTTCTGCGCCGAGGCATTGGCGGCTTCGAAACATGTTCATATATTAAATTATTATGATGAGATGTTTTCACCTTATTTCGTTAAGGTGACGAAGGACTGGTAGTTAAATTTTCCCACGATCATATAAGAGTACCTAAAGTTTCCATCAAATTTCATATAGCCGTGCTTCCCAAAAGGTATTCTCATCCAGAGTGGATCGGACTGATGTTTCCACTTCTGAGCTCATCAGCACCATTTTAGAGACAAGGCTACTCATATGATTGTGGGAACACTCAACTACCAGTCTTTCATCACCTTAACGAAATAGGGTGAATACATCTCATATATATGATTTGATGGTAGTCTCGAAAACCTTATTATAAACGAAAAGGAAATACCAAATGTTGTCGGTCATAATGAAGTTTGCATCAACAGTCCCAGTATAAGAATAGGACCTTGGACCCATACGGTGTCGAAGCCGTAGTCCAGCCTGGATGAGAAACCCCTTTCACAGTAAGTGTAAAGGAACTTCGATTTCATCGTAAGGCCTACAAATATTTTTTTTAAAAAGGTCCTCCGGTTGTAGGATTGACTCGATTTTAAGCCACTAAATTGCTTCAATCAGTCATTGTTGAATAGACTTTTGTCCAGATCACTGTCTTACCAGTCCCAGCGTTCGAGTCCCGGACACTCTATTCGGCCGGAGTAAGGGAGACGGGCTAGACTCACCTCTTCCGGAAGCTCTTTAAAGTGGTTCTGGCTGAGGTTGAGTCGGCGCAGGCTAGTGATGTTAAAGATGACCGGAGGCAGGCTGTAGAGCGAACACTCGGCCAGGTTGAGCTCCTCCAGTCGCGTGAGTGCCGCCATCTCGTCCGGCAGTGGTTGGCTGGTGGGGCTCCCTTCGCCACCCTCGACATGGGCCCCATGTGCCGGAGCCACCGAGGGAAACCAGTCATCTCTGCCTCCAGCCGACCCTCCGCTGCTGTGGTTGCTGCTGCCCGGCCGGGAGGTGAGAGAGCTGCCTTGTGAGACGCGGCGTCCGAGACGTCCAGCGCAGCTGGCCGTTGCCGGGGCCGGTGTCAAGGCAACGGTGGCGTTGGCAGCGACGGCGGCTGCACTGCGGAGGCTGTTGCGACTCAGGTCCAGGAAAATCAGATTCACGAGTTGGCCGATGGACGAGGGCACCGTGCGCAGGTTGTTGCCGGACAGGCTAAGCCAAGTTATGTTGGTGCCTGGAAGTGGAAAAATGGGTGAAAGGGATTTGAGATGTGCGCCCAATTAGTAGCAACCATCGGAGACAGGTGAAAGCACATACCCGGCTGGGACGAGAAGTTGAACAGAGAAACTCGGATTCTTGTCAATAACGGGTGACCCAATGAACGCATAGAAATAAATATAAGAGTTAATCTCAATTTGGGCATTATGGAAACAAGGTTAGGAATCAGGAGCATGACAAAAAGTGGA